TTGTTAAAATCGAATCGGACGATTCCACGCCGAGTTATGACACTTCAATGTTTCCGATTTAATAGAGAATTATGAATGAATGACTAACCCAGTGACCTGCATTAGTTCCTAGAAATGTGTACGCACGACGTAGTAAAGTAGTAAAAATCGTAAACACAGCGTGTAGCGTAGTATTTCCTGAAAGGATTAGACAACAATCATTTTTACATATTTTGTCTTGAATATTTAATGAGTTCCTTTTGAACGATTTTTATGAAACTTGATATAAAGAAGGTTTGTGGCACTGATTCTAAGTCTGAACTCAACATTTAGAAATTTAAAATGGCACAAAGCAAAAAATGACTAGATTTGAATAAATTTTATCAAAATTTCATTTCACGAAGTAAAATGGATGACGAAACAAATTTCGTTTTTAATTTGTATTTGCAAAATATTTATTCATCCTTCGCCTCTACTAAGTTTTATTCAGAAACTCGAGTTACAGTTGGCGTACTTCCCTTACCAGTCATGAATTACAATTTGTCTAACACTAATGTATGTCATCATTGAACATAATAGAGAACTACTGAATAGATAAGCACGATTATTTTCCTATTATCAATTGAATGTATATTCATGAACATAGACCACGCATGTTTACCCTCGATTCCGTTGACATAATAATTAAATTATCCAGCGGAATATATTTTGTCGTTTTATTTTCATTTGTTGCTCGTTATCCGTTCATCTATTACGCGAAACAGCGTTAAAGTGCGACGTAACAATTGACCTCATCATTTGCAAATTGAAATTGCGTGGGTTTCTCCGATGGAAAGGAAACTGTCAACGATAGTATAATTTATAGCTGATAGCATTAGATACAAATTAGGTATCGTTTGAAGAACTTTAAATTAATATTTATGTATAGATAATTATGCAAACAAAACTGTTCTACGCAGATAATTATTATTTAATAATCGAAGGTTATTCACATGAATGTCTACTTAGATCAATTTCATACAGATAAAATTATTTGTCGACTTTCATCTAGATATTATACAAATGTATCTAGATAAACTTCTATTCCTTAAAATGAAGATACTCCTATCTACGTAAAAATAAATTGAAATAAATTTTGTTTTGATCAAATTTTTGCTTAAATAAATTGATTAAGTTTTATTTAAATAAATCATTTTATTATTATAGATGATTATGTGTTTTTTCTTATCTAGATAAAAATATAACTAACTCCAATTATATCATAACTATAGATCTTAATGTTTCTTCATACAAGTTGTTAAAAATTGTTTATTGTTCACACGGAAATATAGACATAAGAAGGTAGTTTATACAAAATTTATTTGGTTCCGAAGTAGAAACATAATATTGAAATTAAATATTTCTCTTTATCATTATTTATAAAATTTCAAGATCTTCATTGTCAATTGTACCGTTACTATTTGAGTTTAACAACTTGAATTCTATATATGCATTTTTCGATTCGAGTATGTTGGTTGGAAATTGTAAATTAATGTGATAATACATAGTACAGAGATTATACTCACCTGGCGTAGAGGCTACCGTGATTATGAAGGCGGTTCCTCCAGGGTAAGGTTATTCCGTTGCACATAGTACAGAGATTGTTGATTAGTTCACGTGTGTTGATTTCTATAACGATGGAATTTCGAAACTTATCTAGTAAGATTGTTCCACTAACTTAGTTACAAGCAATTTTCTGAGAATCTATTTAAAATGGCTGCATGAATTTTTGTTTCTGAAATTCACTGACTAGAAATTTGTATTATATTATGTAGAAAGTAAAACTTTTAATCATACTACTGTATGATTTTAAATGGAGTCGATGAATTTTTATATATTCCTGAAGCTCATATTAAATTCAACCATTTTTTTTTTCACTGACATAAACCATATATCTTCTAGATTTAAATAACAGATATTGAGTTAGGCAATAATAACTAAAACTATAGACACTGAATTATTTTGGATACTCCATGAGTATACAATAATAATTTGAATATTAGTTTTAAGAGGTATAACAATATAAGTAACTTTACCGTTCTCATGAGATTTAATATTTGTTATCACATGAACTGTTTACAACTTGTTTTTATATTTAAATTAACGGTTGCGACACGATCCTCGTGTAGTGAGAATACGAATATCTGAAATTATATCGAGAGGCATTCAATTAGATGCAAAATAAAATAAAAATAATTCGACGAGAAATATGTATATAATTCAACAGTCTCCTTAAGGGGGTATTATCGTCTAGAAGTTTGTTTTTTCAGTAATTTTTAGGAATTCATTTTGCGAAAACTATCAAACCTACAGTACCAGGGTTTTTTATGCATAATAAAACACGTTTCAACTAGCAACACAAATTTTTATGAAATACTTCATTGAAATCTATACAAGTTATGCGCTGTTATGCAGGTTGTGGCGTGAGATGCTCGTTCAATCGGGCACACAGGCTGTGGCGGTTCTAATCGTCCGAGACAGAAAAACAAATTCTTTTTTCAATCTATATGAATGTAGTTATCGTCTGAACTAGAATTAAGTAAGTACTACATTTTTTTAGCGGAATCGCAGCTGTTTGGAAATTAAGGTTTACTTTTCTCGGAAAATCGTCAACTAAAATATGAGAGCAGGGCTAAAATATTCAAGCTATCGGTATAATTCTAGTTCAGACCATAGATGATGGTGCCCTCGAAATGTGTGTAAAACCAGAAGTCAGTCGGTCCAATAGTTTTTGAGAAAAACGTGCGCCCGACTTAAAAAATGTCGTTTCGAGAAAAACGCGTTTAAAATTTCCTATACATTTAGCACTAATACTGCTGAACAGCCTTTCAGCCTCTGTAACTATGAGAGCTCTACGAATTTCAAATTAATATTTTAGAGGCACTTTCTCAAAACCCCAAATGATAAGATAATGCAAAAAAAAAAAATCGAATTTTTGAAGTTTCTAGACGATAATAGCCCCTTAAATGCACAAGTTTCTCTACGATAAATGGTCAGTAACATGATCCGGGATCGGATATCTCGATGAGATAATGCTAATGCAACGATCAATCTTTTTTTATTATTACCATTTTTGTTGTAAAACTGTTACCATCGTATTCCTGACATTTTTCTGATTAAAACGAGACCAAACACGACGTAATTCCCAACATATTTACTACATATTGTCTCACCGAAATAATCCCGGTGTTGGTCGCATTTTTCCCATGTCGCCCCGTCCTCTTCTTCATTCGCTGTCCTTCTCTACACTCGAAGTTTGTTGGCAAAACATTAGAAGATACAGTGGCGACTAAAGGAGGAATGCAAAATCGGAGACCCAAAACATTGCACTCGAGGTTTTTATATGTTCACACTTGACACGAGTCGAGCATCGAACGTAGAAAAGGACAGATAGTGAAAGGATGAAGAGGTCCGAGAAAAGAAAACACTCGACAGAAGCGTATCAATCGGTGAGGATCATATTACACCGGTGGTCGAGACTACTCGGGCAAAACTACAGACAAAAGAAATATGAATGGGCTGGTAGCGAGGGGGGTGGGTATTTGAGAGACATACATAGTGTCTCAGCCTAAGTAATACGGAGCTCTAACTCCAAAACTATCGGCCGAATGCAAAATTTCAAATATGGAAATTGCATGGTAAAATGGGCTTCATGTTTCAGCGAGAAGGAATTTTTGTTAACTTTGTTATTTAACGAGATATGATGGTCAAGTTTCGTTTTTCGAATGGAACTATATATTTTTTTTTATACCATGCTATAGTACTTTTCAAGACGAATTCATTAAGATTTTTATTAGTTTTCAAGCTATAACGTTTCAAAGTTTGCTCATTTTCAAGGAGAAAACTCGATACCATTGATGCAGTAAGCACCATGCGGTTCTTGAAATCGATACGGAGGGTCTCGTTTGGGATTCTAGGCCCAACGAAGGAAATTGGGAAGAATCCCAATATTCTATATCACGTTAGATAACAAAGTTAACGAAAATTCCTTCGCGCTGAAACATGAGCCCCATTTTACCATGCAATTTCCATATTTGAAATTTTGCATTCGGCCGATAGTTTTGGAGTTAGAGCTCCGTATCACTTAGGCTGGGACACCATGTATAATAAGAAAAAAAATGTTTTAGTACCGTTCAAACTGAACACAGTCTTATCACTTGAGAAATTGAGTTTCTCTTTGAATTATCCATCGTATTAATTCATGAACCGGATTCTCAATTACGAACTGGAACACCATAAATCTTTGTTGCTCTCGTGCAGAATGCTGTTTCAAAGAACACGCTGTACATTATTCTAACCAAACTTGTTAGCATAAAGTAGTTGTAACTTTTATCGTTTTTGGGACAATCCAGAAATATGTTTAAAAAAAAGATACAAAGATGTCTTAAAGACATTTAAAAATTTGTAGAAAACTAAAGTAATACAAATTAGAAACATTTGTATAATTTTCTAGTAAGAAAAGCTTTCAAAATATTTGAAAAAAGGAAACAAAAATGTAACAATAATTTCTTAAAAGAGGCGGAGACTGAAATAAATCTAGGTGGAAAACCTTTGGTGGATAACCAAAATGTAGGGTAAATAATTTTATTTAAGCTTAGGTCATAAATGATCGAATGTAAAGGAATATAATTAATTTCTGCACCTAACAATTTTTAAGTACACTTATAATCTGTTAATAGTATTCAGATTCATTGTAACAAAAAGATTAGGTTGAGAATTTAGATGGTTGGTACTTAACAGAATGACGAGTAAATATATTTACTTAAACTAGAGTTACAAATAATTAAATGTAAAGACACAGAATTAATTTCTACACCTAATAACGTATAAAAATAAAATATCTGAAAGGATCTTGTCTCCTAAAAAGGTTCAGTACGCGTCGCATACAAAAATATTCCCGAATCGTTTCAAAAATTTATCATTCAAGACCCTGGGGAAAGACTGAGAACACCGTCTCACTTAAAAAATCTTGTTATTCGTAGGTCGAAGCAGCAAAACCAGCAATTATAGACGTGTCCGATGGTGGAACGATCAATGGTGATTCGTAGAGCCGTGAACAGCTTAACAGAACAAGGGTCAACACGAAATGCTACTTTCGTTTTTCGCGTGGAAATCACGTTTGACCGAGCAAGGATTGCAGGAATAGCAGGAAAAGTGTTGCAAGGCTGAAACTGCGATACAGTGGAACCTCGAGGCCGCAGGAAAAAATTGAGCAAAGCCTTTTAAACCAGCCACGAAGCTACGAACAAATTAGAAACGTCTCGAGTGAATTTAACGCGGTTGAGAAAATAATAAAAATATCTATTCTAGACCTATTTCTCTCGACGAACGCGGAAGTATTCGGTTTCCTAGAAGAGTATGCACAATCATAATTGCATGCAGGAAATGTGGTACAAGTTATCATCGAATCATCGTCACACCCGTTCCTCGAAAACCTATTGCGAATCGAGTAGGAAGACTGATTTATTATAAAGAAACCATCGTAAATCGCACTGCGTATGCGTGAGATGGTAAACAAGGAAAATTGCAACGATTCTTCGTGACTCACTTCCGTTCGAGGTCAATGGAGACGCCGAGAGGATCGCATACCTCGGATTTGGATGGACAGGAACGCAAGCTTAACCGTTATCGCGGATTACAGCGTCATTATTACGATATTCAACGGTTAAAACTCGTCTTTAGTTGCGAAGAGGAAGCACTGTAGTGTGTGGGTCAGAGAGTACACGAGCTGGCCGTTTTATAGCGAACCGAACAGGCAGCTCGTGACTGTGCCCTGGCAGCTCAGGGAACAGAAGGGACTGAGTCGTTGCTGGCAAAGATTTCACGATCAGCAGGGACCAATCGACAATTTCGCACAGCAGACGATACTTTTAGATCGATCGACCTTTATGATCGCTAAAGGTTCCGAATTGTTATCTAAAATATGGCTACGGAGGGAGAGCAAGCGGTACCAAGTACGCCTTGGTACACGAAATTCTTCGAGTACTGGAGAAACAGAAATCGCGTGGGTCCAGGAAAGGTGGAGCTACCCGACTGCGACTTCTTCATCGTCGGTCCGCGTCGTACCTTGAGAATCCTGAAGCCGAGCTTGAAGAGCGGCTGGTACTACGAGAACACAAGCGATCGACCAGAGTCCACCATCGACAATTTTTTTACTCGCTGGGCCAGAAGACCTCACTCGTCCGGAAACTGTAGATGTTCTTTTCGGCAGTCGCGACGGCTGAGCACCGCTGAAGAGCAAATCATTTCCGAGGAATTGAACAGAATCAGGACGAGTCTCTGCGAGGGTGAGAAGAACGAGTCCGCCATCGAGGAGCTCGAGCAGAGGGTGTCGGTGAATCTGCAAAAACTTCAGGTATCTGATCACCAACCAGTGAAAGAAGATGAAACCGACAACTCGAACGAAAAGGTTCAACTGCCGGACGAGCAGACGATCAAAACCAAAATCGTGAAGGACTTGGAGAAGTACATCAACGTGCTCCTGGAGGAGATACTCGACGACACCGTGAAGTACATCGCAGGTGTCGAGGACAGTTTGATCAAAGATGCAGCGGTTACGAAGAAGAGGACCTCGCAGAGCAGACGATCGAGTCGCGATAAGAGCATCGCGGAGACGGGGAAACTGGAAACTGAGCGAACCTCGGGCAACGAGGAGTCGTTCAACATCAGCTTCTCGTTCCGTCCGGATAGGCTCGAGAAGAACGAGAAGGAATCCGCGTGCAAGAAAGAAATTCTGAGCAACGAAGGATACGTGAACCGTGGGTTCATCGGGTCAACAAACGATCCAGACTCGTTGGATTTCTACTTGAGGCGAACGGTGGGCACGGATGTCACTTTGGAACAGCTGGATTGCATCGATTCGGGGATAAACAGCGTCGAGACGATCGAGTTCCAGCCGGACCAGGAGCCCAGCCTGGAGCAGTCGTTGCTGAAGATCATCGACGAGAAACTCGGTAGAACGCCCTTGAGCAACAGTTGGGAGGATCTGAGCACAGGTGGCCGGGAGAATGATCCGCAGGGCCAGCCGACAAAGAGAACGGACGGGACGGTGATTCCGAGAAGTGGCGAGCAGCTGAGCAACGATCCAGCCACGGAGGGATCGGAGGTCATCGGAAAGAATGACGCGGAAAGCGGTGAGCCGCGGGATTCGAGCGTTGAAACCGCTGGAGGAATCGATATCTCGACGGATAATCTCGTGGAAGGCAGAGTGGCCGCGGTGGATCTCAAGGAGCTGGAGGAAATTGTTAACGAGCCCAGTTTCGAGAATCTCCGGTTGGAATTCAAGGGCAACGGCGACGAGCCGCCCCTCAGGCCCAAAAAGGGCAAAGCGATGTCGAGGCTGCGGGAAAAGTTCTGCGCGAATCCGGCCGCGTCCGACGAGTCTTTGGAAAAGAGCAGCTGGAGCGAAAAGATGGGATCGTTTCAGTTGAAGAAGGAGGCAACATCCATCGAGCTGGAGGATTACAGGAAGATGTGGCCCGACATCGAGGAGACATCGATCGAGCAAAGTCCACGCGAGTTGGTCACGTTTAGGAGAAACAGGAAGCCGATGATCGTTTTTCTCCACGGCTTTGGATCGTCCGCGGAAATCTTCGAGCATCAGCTGGAGTATTTCTCAGCTCTGGGGTATCCGTGCATCGCGCCGGACATGCTGGGCCACGGCATGAGCTCGGCACCTAGCCGATCCAGGGATTATCACTTTAACAAGCTGCTGAAGGATCTCGACTCCGTGCTGTGCCACTACGCGTTTAAGCCTGGGCAGAAGTGCGTCTTGGTGGGGCATAATTACGGGTAAATATTTATTCAACTATTTTCTCTTTTCGTTTCTCCGTCTGGCCGACTTAGACAGCCTATGCTCATGCAAATGCATGCTTTTACAGGAAATTGATTAGAACGTAGATTGCGGATGTTTATGCAAATGTATATTTTGATATGCACGCATTATTTTGCATATATGTTTTGTACGTTTCAGTTAAAAGACACGTTACATGTGTTTTACATTATTTAGTTAAAAAATATGTGCACATTGTATATACATATATGTTTTGCATACTTTAGTTAAGAGTAGAGATCCCTATTTCACGTGTATCGAAATACACAGTTGTACGAGTAATTAATGGATCCGTGTTTTAATCCGTGTATTTTTAATACACGCGCATCCAGGTAAGTACACGCGCATCGAAATACACGGGTGCGCATACATCGAATCGAAACAGTGATTTAATTAATTAAATTTTATTATGAAACAATGTATTGATATTTGTTACTCCTGACCTGAAAATTTATTTTACAAATGATATTGAGACATATAATTAACACGCGGATCGCCACGTCACTCATATGCGGGTGACAGAGCTTTTCACTGAAAAACGAAAATTATTAATTCTGAAAGTTAAGTGTCATAGAAAATGAATTTAAATGAAATACTTGAATTTTGATGAAGTTACAGAACTAAATACCAAAATAACACACATGTTGAAAATTACAGAAAATAAATACTTGTTAATAGTTAATAGACCCTTATATTGTGTGGAGAAGTAGCATGGTCGTAAAATATTCTGTTATATTTATTCTTCTTATGTTTATATTATTTTTATGTATATTCTTTGATGCTTATCAAGTTTTTCAAAATTAATAAGGATTATTAAGCGTTATCTTTAGATAAAAGCTTTTTTTTACATAAAAGTTTGTATACAAACTAATTGGCTACTGCACTTGTATAATTCAATGTATGCGCACCCGTGTATTTCGATGCACAATACATACTTACTTGGATTTAAAAATACACGTGTTCTTCTTTCTTAATACACGTTCAAAACCGTGATCTCCAGTTAAAAGTTATATGCACATATTATTTTGTGCATTACACATGTGTCTTGCATACATGTTTTCATTAGAAGGCATGAGCGAATATTATTTTACACATTGCATATTTTAGTTGAAAGACATGCATATAAATATGCACCCATTGCATCCCTATGACGTGGAACATTCTTTTTCGAGATTTATTGGGTTGACTCATGAACAACTTCCACCGAAAGAAACAAATAATCATGCTTTCGGGAAATCCTCCCTGGGTATAGTCATTTTTTGTTTGCCTGTTAAATGAAGACAAATGATTATCAACGATGGTAATTATATAATTGAGTCAAATTTATTATGTGATAATATATTTGGAAATAAATTGTAGGTTAATAAACGGAGATTATTTATGAACACGATACATTAACCCTTTCGTCTACAATCACGAGTGAGACTCGTGGTAAGGAATTTGGTCCATAAACAATAAACACGAGTCCGACTCGTGATATTTCGTTCCGACTTTTACTACCTTCCTGTTTACTATGGTCCGAGCAATCGGGATGTAGCGTGTAGGTCAAGGGGTTGCCGGTTCTCTAAAATGCGATTTCAATCAATTACCCAAAATTTTCATTTATGTATGTTATCGATTTATCTTTTTTACATAAAAAACTATAACATTTATGCTGTGTGAAACCACAGCTGTCAAGACGAATTGAACGATATAGGACGGAATAATGTTCATCGTCACACGAGAACGTCAATAAAAGATAATAAGATATGATTGCGAGATATAATACATTCTAAGTGAGGTTAAGTAACGTTTAGGGTCCCACAGTACGAAATGAAATTACAATTGAAATATTTAAAATTCATTTTGTCGTATGACATAACCGTAGCTTTCATGTTTAAAAAATTGCATTCAGAAAAAGGTAATGCAAATTTGAAAATTGATTCGAGTCATCGTAGTTTTTTGATTAGAAACAATAAAACTGTTTCCTTCTCTATTTTGTCTTTACATCACGCATTTGCAAAAGGAATATTGCATATCGATGACATAAACGACTTATGTAAGCAACTCATCGTGCACTGTTCCTCGTTTTAATCTTCAATTGAATGAACGAGATACTTGTTGCGTAAGCGGTAGGACAATGTCAATTTAATACCGATCAAGAGAGTACACGAAACATACACGTACGTCGGTGGTAGAATAACTTGTGAAATTTTACACTGCAAACCTAATACTTTTACAGATTCTTTTTATTATTCTACGCAAACAACATTGCAATAAGGTAAAACCAGTCTGTAATAAATTAATATGGAATAGAAATCATTCCTCTAATGTTACGACACATAAGATATTGATCTGTAAGTTATCCAGAGACAAACATATTTATTTTAATTCCGATGATATGGTTTATCTGTATTAAATTGGCCCTAACAAAATACGTAACATTAAACTGTCACCAATCTACGGTATAAATAGGAAGAAAAAATTAAATATGCAAAAGTATTTGTAGTGATGATCGATTACGAAAACTTGTACGGAAATGTTGAGACAGAGAAAACAAAAGTATAACATTGAAATTGTAAAAGAAGAAAATAAAGTGAGCAATTTATTGCAGTTGATTGAAGTATTAGTAAAAGCAGTATTGATTATAAAAAAAATAGGTGTAAAGGTGAGATTTTCAAAACGAGACTGTAATTCCAAACACAATTTAACAATTTGAAAATATTATTTATTACCAATTCGACTTAACTATTCTTCCCCCAAGATCCAGTAATAAAATATAGCTGCAATTGATGAGACTGCTATAATTTGAACACACGTCACGCATCTGTTTGTCTGCAATCTACCAATCGAAGTAAACTCCTCTTTTAAATTCTTATATTCTCGGTGCAAATTAATTAACAATGTAATTACACGTTAAATACACTACACGTTACAGTTTGACACGTGTCCTTGAATACCAGACAATTGTCGCGTGCGTTCACATGCTATGAAGGAAATTATTTCATGGTCGAAACCGTCAACCATTTCATCCCGTGGAACCATTATACAGAGTATCAGTGAAAAAGTGGAATTTTTTTCCAAGTTTTTTTCATATTAATACCAATCGAATATGTCTTTTACATTTTGCAATCGTGGGCTTTCTTTCCGTAGATATCAGCAGTTAAATAAAAAACTAATTAATTAGTTGGCTAGTAAAGCAATATCGATTATTATGTTATTTACTCAAATATTTAGGCCTTGCTAAGTATTAAAATAATTATGTTAATGTTAAATATCAGAGTCTGAATCAGTAATAGTTTGCGTGATATATTTATAATGAATAAAACAAGAGTTGGACGATGATTACTCCATGATTACTTTGTAATTATTTTTGTAATATTTTTTGTATCATTATTGTGCTCCATTTTAGTTAATTATTTAATAATTTGTATTCTCATAGAAATTGCATCAATATCTTTTTAATTTCAGTGATGAGTTTAATAAGTGATAAGAATCAGATAATTTACAATTGTCAAAGTAATCAGTAATAATAATCATGAATTACATCTTGCCCAACACTGAACATGTATGTAAAAAGTAATACATAAATCAAAATAATACGTACGTGTATACTTTCTTTTTTATATAACTTTATCAATTTTTATGGATATGAAAATGTTATGGATATAATTATTATGATTTATTAGGCTTGGATAAACAAGACATACATCGTGCAACCTTCAGCATTAGCTCTGTTAATTCTTTATTTAGGTCTCTTTGTATAATATTATTTTAAAAATCAGTGAAAAATAAAGAAATTGTATGAAATTTATAAACAAAAAAATGTATACCTTGCTCGATTGAAATTGTAACAGCAAATTATGTTTTTACTGTGAGAATTTTAATTAAACTCCATTTATACATTATCTTCCTTCTATAAATTTACTATAATTTCTCCATTTTTCACAGATTTTTAAAATAACCGTAGACAAAGGTTTAAAGCACATTCTCGAGTAAACAAAATTATAATCTGTAACGGAGTTACAACTATATTCTGTTACCGACTTCTCTGTTTCGTGCAACAAATTCTATCAAATCATAAAGTCTGCATTCAAAGTTTATTTACGACTCGTATCATCGAGACCTTTCTCATTACCATTACAGAATTATTTATCCGCGACTAGTAGGAACTCGGTCGCAATCGCGTAACTTATCTTCGGCCATTTGAAAGCATCTGGTGCATCGTAATTGCAGTGTGCACTCGAGACTGTGCCTTATCGAATATCTGTGGATTACAAATTCTTTGACGTTTGAATCGTTTGCGAACCCGCGCGATTACCTGTACTCGTTTAACCGACAAAACGGATAATGGGTGAACCTCAGAGCGCATTAATTCACATTCAGATCTTCCGATTTGCGGGGTGATCGATTCATTTTTGCCGCCCTTGGGATATGGACGGTGCACTGGTTGCGCTCTTTCTGTATCTTCGCTTCTTTTCGCGAAAATAATTCCACCGCATTTATCGATATCTCCTTTCCTTTGGGAACACCGGTACGCTACTAATCAGTTGTGTACTTAATCTATACACATACAGTAAGTCCCATAAATATTCCAACTTTCTACGTCTATTGAAGAAAGTCTAAATAAATTATGCTTTAATTATGTTTAGTTAAATCTACGGAGCCTAATCTCTAATTTAAGGCCTTACATTAGAATAAATGACTTCGTATTATAGGTCAGTGAATTTTTCTAAACAAATGGCATCTCATCATGGATAAAAATATATAAGATTCCGTTTAAAGAATTAATTTGTTTTTTAAATATCTGGCCCTACTTCACTTACAAGCAAATTATTGGCTGCATATAATTAACCAATTAACTTTTACAAAAATATTTTGTTTATAACTTCATCCCCTCGTGAAATATTTAACTATTCCGCTTTAAACGAAACACCTTGTGTATCATGTATATTAGGTGAGCCGGAAAATAATGTCGTTTTTGCAATTTTAGATACTTGTTTATCATTCATCGCCTCATTGATTTTTATCGATCTGGCATTGACAATTTGCACACTAGATGGCTTAGGCTATTCGAAAGGCTATCGATAAGAAAGGAGCGATTATATAATTAATAATTAAAAATAGAAATTTATAAAAAATTTATTTAAATTTAATGTAAAAGAAACGACATTACTTTCCAGTCCACCTAATACATACATATATATCACAATTTATTTTTCAATAATTGTTGTTTGGGAGGGTCCCTTCAACAAAATATGGAAATGATTGGAGTAATTATTTACGACTTATTCTTTAATAATTGTACTTTGGAAGAGAGCCGTTAACAAAATTTGAAAATTACTGTTCTAAAAAGAAATCTTTTAAACCTAGATCTAATGTTATTTCACGATGGAGCTTTCGTTTAACGTTAGTGTTAATTAATATGGATTGCAGTGTGAAACAATTTGAATTGCAAGAATTGCTGTATTATTGCATACTTCTTGAAGGTAAGCGATGGTCATCGGTGGTTAGTCCTCGCATTTACATTTTTACGCAACGGAACGTTGCAGAGGCCCGAGGTAAACAAGAAAAAAGCTTGCAACATAGTGCACTTGTCCCATGTATCTTATCCACGCATTATCTGCTAATCTGTAAGCGGGCTCGTGCAAATTTTTACGCGAAACGTATTGCAAGATACAGAACAAGTTTAACCCTTGAACGACTACTTCATTCTTTGTTTCAAAAAGTATATAATGGAGTCTATAGAAAGAAGTCCTCAGAGCAGGTTTCCAAAAAAAAAAGAATCGTATACTGAGAGTCTCTTTAGCATATATTAATACTTAGATGTTTATTAGATGGCCAACTGATCGACATCATTTGTCATAATAAAATAATATTGCAAACATCTCCAAATAAAAATATATCTACCTACAAATGCAAAAGATATGTAAATTCTTATGTGCTTCACATTTTCTTACGTAAATAATATTACAAATAAAAATTTGGATAAAGAATATTTACTAGGAAAAATATTTACTAGGCTGATATATAAGGAAATAATTGAAACAAAAATTTGACATTTTTAGGCCGTGTTTCTATTATTACAAGTTACAAATCTGATAAATGTAAAATCATTTTCTCAGTGTTTATCGGAGTTCTAAAAAAAAAAGTAACTGATCGTTAGAATGGCATGTATTTTTTATTTAAAACTTTTCAAGGTTTGGGACACGTGTTAATGTTAAAATTAAAAGATTCAATTTTGCAGAAATTTTTTGTATGTATTTACAAGGTATTTACGGGATGCATAGATTTAAGAAATTATTGATATTAGGACCATCCTAATATTTAGTAACATTTAACAATATTAAAGTTTTGAGTGGCATATTAAATCTCATAAAGAAACTGTGGAGTCATTAAGGTAGAAACTTTCGGGAAAAATGTTCAACATCATATAATAAATAAAATACTCCATAAAATAAATAATATAATATTACATTATTATATTCAATATAGCAAATAATATTAATATTCTAATATAATATTGCTTATATACGTTGGTGTGTATGTAAGCAACAAAGCTTACTCATAAACCGTGTGTATTTACCCAAAATACTTACTCGCGAAAGGGTTAATGACGTGAAAGGGAATGTGTAAGCAGTTTACGTGAATCTGTAACATTACGACACCCCTTTAGACTCGCCCTGTATCACTTTAGGAATCCCTCGATGGAATTCTTTGGACTTTTATTGTGTAAATCGTGAATACATATGGCCACTTGGCCGGTAATCACGACCCACACGACGGCGACGTCGTAATAACGACACGAGTTCTATTAATTCATCACACGACATTGCAACACGACATGTAGGCCGTTGGGCTAAGTCCCTCGAACCACGTACGGTTCAATAGCCATTCCTCGGTTGAGTTACAAAAATTAACACCTATTTCCTACACGGATTGCGGCATTGAGTTAGGATCGCGGTTAAACGCACTGCGACCGCGATATGAATTATGGGGAAAGGACATTATCAGTCGACGCGCGTATAAATTAAACAGAAATTCAGATTTCCATTAAGAGTGAACTCTTGCAATGCTGTTGAACCTTCGGAACAGTGATTCTCAATCTTTTTAAGGCAAGTACAATTTTAGAGAATTTTAATCTTCCTAAGTCAACGCTGAAGCATCGCTAAAATTTAAAAGGAATAGAATAAAAAGATAACTTTTGATCAAAAGTAGGAATGTATTTGTTTTTTGAAAACACATTAACACGTTGATAATAGAGTTTTTTTTACTAAAGAACTAAACGAAATTTATTCCGAAGTTGAGATCTTAAAGAAAATAAATGGGATTCCAATAAATAAATACTAGAACTAATGATAGTAGTAGTAGTGGTAGTAAGTAGTAGGTAGTTTCCAATTGTCCCAAAACAATAGCAGGAAAGTTATTATTTTTCTGAAACACTCTAATTTATTTAACAAAATTTAACGTTTACTTAAGTTAAGTCGTTAATAACCGTTAGTAGTTGATGCAACTTAATTTACTTATAAAACCAACAATTCTTCCTCTTCGTTTTACATTTTAATATAATTTTATGTGTAATTTAGTATGATAATAAAGCGACGATTACGTCATTACCGTTTATTACAGATGCAGCTTCGCAGCCGCCTTGGCCTGCAAATACGACAGTAGTATACACCAGCTAGTCCTGATATCCGGAGGTGGTCCAACGGCATTAGCAGCGCCCAGCACCGAAAGCACCGGTCACTGTTGCCTCAGAGCGATCCTGACGCCTTTTTTAATGTGCGGCCTTCACAGAGACATATTGTACTCGGCGAGGGGTCGTCAACACCCTTACTGCGGCCCCGAACCGCCGGAACAATGGCCCTCGCACATGAAATATGTTTTGAACGGCATGGTTTGGCCGGAAGGAGACTACGTATTCCATAGAAGGATATGCGCGCCAACGCTTCTCATACACGGCTTAAGGGACAACAAAGTCTCGCTCGTGCAGGAATGCCAAATGGAAAGGGTAAGATTTCCAATGTCTATTCATTTCTATTATACATAGAATGTCTAGATAATCATGTACAACCAAGGAATCATAGGATGATTCCTTTTGCAAAAATAAACCAAAAATGTAGAAAAATATCTTTATATATGTTCTTTCTTTATCGAGAAATATATTCGCTCACTTGATTAACTGCAAAATCTTGCGCAAAACTTCAACCAAGTGGTATCATTGTAGTCAATCAATTGTAATTATCTGATTGGCGCCATCTGTGACTTGGTGAAATTTTTATTTAAATTTTGGGATTGCTCATTAAAAGCTAAACTTATTTCATATTTAATATTTGTTATATCTCTATTATTTTCGAAAATAATTCCTATATATTCCTTTGCACTGAAATAATTTTTGGTCATTTTTATCAGTGCGGAAATATTGAATTATTTATATTTGCTAAAGATATTTTAAAACCTAATATTTGCTAAAATACGTTTGATTAGTTCCACAGTAATTTTAATTGTACTTTTGATATTAACTGTTACCATCGTATGTAATGTTTTAGACCATGTTGAAAGCTTTCCTGGAAGCCATCCCAGCTGCCGGCCATACTCCCATGACTGATTGCCCAGAGCAAGTGAATCACATGATTCACTGTTTCATAGACTTGTGGAAAAACAAAAAATGGTAGCAACAAAATAAATAGTTAGGTTATGTATGTTTCACTGAAAGGAGATTTCGCGGACCATATGTTAATACGTGATAAGATTTATATTTGAATCAAGTTCTTCGTACGGGTATTTGACTCATTGTACATTGTTAGACAACAACAAAAATATGGTGCCTTCTGCTTAATTTGCTGCGGCGAATTTAATGCATCGACACAACGATTGGAATCTATTGTACATAACCTAGATTCTATTGGTGAAAATTCGTTTGTATAGATACTTTTTATACGACTGTAATGACGTAACCGATCTTTATAATTATCTTTTTTACGAACTTTTCATAGAACGTTTATATTTGTAAAGAAATTGTATAAGTCTGCATGATAACTGTGCCAAAAGACGTACACGATTGTTAAGACGTTTGTTCAAATTTACGCAGCCTCAGCGAAGGTTTGTTTGTCAATCAAGTTGTAAAATACAATGTAGAGGCTATGTAGTAGCGTATAAGTTATACCAAAGATGATTTATACAATGTTATTTTATGTATTTTAGTGGAGTATAACTTATTCGTTTACAATAAAATTGTGTATAGATACTTGAATCCTTTATAATTATATTTATAAGTCTTGTTTCATGTATTCCAGTTAGCCATTTAATCAGTCGTTATGCGTGTTTGTGTTCTTGTTTAGTTATTTAATATCAACGATTCAGGAGTAATTTTTGATTAAGTGGGTTTTCGGGAGACTTCATCCATTCCTTCTTCAATATTTGTTTTAATTGACTTAACCTTAACGTTGGATTTTGTTCTTTAATGATAGGCATCATCCTTTCTTCGAAACTAGCGAACGCAGCTTTCATACGTTTCTCAGGATGGCGATCGATTTCAGGTTCCTTTGTACTAAAAAAGAAAGTATCGCAAGCTTAAATGATTTGTACTTCAAATAATCCTTTCCTTTTTTTAACGCGAAACAATTGAATTACATTCTCAAAATGATTATGTGAATAGATACCTTAAAACAGACAACGCTTCGTCTATACCGTGTGCCGTTTCACCTTCGATCGTTAATCGATTCAAATTTTCCTCAATCGGTTTCTCTTCCTCTTTCTTATTCAGTGCTACCTGATTTCGCTTTTCCGTTGCAATCACAATTTCTGCCCTCGTAATTTTTGCAGCAGGTTGCTTGCCGCCCACTTTTATAGTTGCCAATTCTTTTTCAAGCAAAGCTTTAACCTCTGCTTTCTTTTCTAATTGTTGTTGACGTTTCTTTTCCAGTTCTTCCTGTAAGTTATATCGAAATTGATACAACCAAAATAACAGTTAAAAATCAACATTTTCCACAGAAATGCAATAGATCCCTAGAAAGGGTCTCTTACAATTTGGAAAACCACTTATTGAAATAATGAAATTGAAGTTAATAAATATTATTGCATACCTGTTTTTGCTTTTTCTTCAACACTTGCTTATCATCATCCTGCCAGGCCTTCTCTTCAGCTTCTAAAGCTTTTCTTGTAGATTCAGCTTCCTTGGCTGCTGCCTTTCTTGCTCTGGCAGCAACAGCTTTGCTGTTCTCTCCAACAAATTTCTTGGGCATGTTGATCTAGATAATGCATATCATCAATATTATCACATGAGATTTCATGAAAAAATCTATCAGCATGTACATGTATGTTTATCTTACACTCTACTGACATTCACCAGAAATAAAAACCGTATCAACTCTCTATGTTCATGTACATATCTTGGAAATTTGCAAGGATACACCTTAGCTAGTAACATACCACAAGCTAATAGCATTCATGGATTCAGATTAGTAGAAATCATGCAATATAATTGAATGTGTGTCTACATTCTGTGATCCATATGGTAATCACAAGAGTAATATACCAACAACCAGACAAGGCAAAAGGTTTTACTCAGTTTTTTGTAGTAAAATATTGCCTAAAGTATTACGATCCTGAACGAGCTGTAATCATAAGTATACGATTTAAAATACTTTATTAGAAGATAAATAAAAAAAAGCATATCGTATTCGCGAATAAACGAAAAAAAGACTAATGACGTCAGAGTATATCCCTTTTGAAAACAAACAAAATTTTTTTCTATCTGCAATTGTAGACAAGCTATAAAGGTAGCCCTTGTTAAATGCTTCACCCTGTACTATTAATTAATCGATTTAATATTGCGCGGCAACGAGTATTCCACTATGATTTTGTTGGCAGTACTGGTACACGTGCGCAGACGTATCGGTCAGCTCGAACAGTTGAGGTTAAATTATAAACCGAATACTTTTCAACTGAAGGCACCAAACCATAAATATGGTGCGAGTGATTTATAAATGACAAATGACGCGGTACTATGGAAATATATGTCTACGTAAAAAAATTTTGCAACACTTAACTAATAGTCGTGAAATGTCGAAGCAGGGATCGAAAAAAGCTGGAAAGGCTCAGAAAGCGGCGGCGAAGGAGGTTAGTAAATAATACAAAACGTAGCTTACCAGTTCCAATGGTGAGGATTAAAATTTTGAGCGTGATCGAGATTTGATCACCGATTAAGAAAATATCATGACATTTTCTGTGATACACCGTTCATTTACACTTAATGCTGCTAGGTGTCGCTTGCGAAGTCACGAACGGCAACATTATATTCGCAACTCACTAGCTCCTTTTTGAAACGGTCGATCCTTCCGTATCAAATTTAATTTTTCGATAATCATTAATGTAAAAGTGATTATCGAGTCATCGATGATGTTTGGCTAATGTTGATAATATATTTTACATTACACTGCGAGAAATTGGCGATGCAATATAAATATCTATTTCTTTAATAATGTGTAAAGTGTTATGTGGTGCACAAACAGCTGATTTAGCGCACTGCATGTATGAATACATGTGAATACAGGAGGATACTCCTTTTTGCGTTTATAAACATACGTGATAATCATGTTTATGCTAACTGTATGTGATTTAAAATCAAAGATAATATTGGCAAGTACTAAATAAGAGTTCATTTTTAAGAAATATATGTATATTTGAGGTCACTTATACTGCTAGAATTACGCGGACTCTTAGACTTCATCAAACCTCCATTTTGTCTGACAATTTATAACTTATGGAATGTTAGATTTTCTACTTACATTTAAGCAATATTATGTATATATTATTTTGGTACAAAAAAAGTAATGTTTAGTAACATTGATGGTACATGAAATAGTCTGATTTAACGATTTCATGTAATTGTAATCAATGCAGTATTATTGAATATTTTTATAAGTCTCAGGAAATAAAGGTGATGTGAAGTTTTAAGAATCTTCGTTCTTGGATAGTTCCACAGAGATACTTTGAATATTATTAATATCCATATTACAAAAGAATAGAAGTTTAAATTAAGCCACATTGTTGTATGTAGGTCACTTAGAAATTATACCAAATATTTTTGACGTTATATAGTAACAATATTTTATGCCGTATGTGTTGTATCATACGCTATAAACGTTAATATTTTCTTTACAAGTAGATGACTTTTGGCAGGAACCTAATAAGGGACCCATAGGCGTAGACAAAAATGGCAATGTAACTATAAAAATACAAGCGAAGCCTGGAGCGAAACATAACAATATAACGGGTAATTTTACGTTGTAATTGAGGATATAAAATTCGGAAATTAACAAATTGGGAGTCTTTTTCGTGAAAATAGATTTCTTTGTAGATATATCCGACGAGGCAGTGGGGGTTGCGATATCCGCACCTCCCGTCGAGGGTGAAGCAAATACGGAACTTGTAAAATATTTAGCTTCCGTATTAGGAATGAGGAAGTCCGACGTATCGTTAGATAGAGTTAGTTTACTGTCTTGATAATTTTATAATGTGTTATGATTTTGATATTATCGTCATCGAGGAATCCTTTTTTTATAGGGATCCAAAAGTCGACAAAAGGTCGTGCTAGTGTCTGGAAGCACGGTGGAGAAAGTTTTGGAAAAATTGAAAGGAGAGATGGGAACTTGATAATAGTAACGCTTGATTTATTAACGCGTTTTAATCTTTTATTGTCATAATACCTATCTTTTATACATATATAAAAAAATGTTTTACTCTCCTTCAGATGAGTCATATTTACTGTACATAAATATGGCAATCGTGTCAACATAATATGTTCAATTAATTTATACAATAAACTGGTGTCTTTATACAATTGTTATGTGGTAAAATTAATTCCTTAGTGACAGCGTTAATTTCAGCTATCGAGTGTACGCTGGAAGAAGTTCGTCACGAGTTCGAGTCCTTTTCAGACATGAATATCGAATTTCTTCCACGTATATTTTTTGTTACGCTAAGAAACGGCGATTACGATATTTATTAGTTTATAACATAACATTTACAAAGTATCAACGAGTTTTTGATAAAATACTTCATATTTAATTACTAAATGCAAGCTTTTTGTCTAAAGGAAACTTTCTGTATTTCCTGTGTTTCGAAGAAGGAAGTTACATTCTTCACTTTACAGTAAAAATGAAGAAAACATTTTAAAAAATGGAATCTATTCGAGGAAATAATCGTAGTTTATAAGTACTTTTAGTCTTTCCTTTCTATTACTATATTTGTATAAAAAGAAATATAAATGTGTTCAGTTCATTTAGTTGAATTTCAGTTTGAGAAATATGAACACGTCAATTCGTTTAGTTGAATTTCATTTTAGAACAAGCATTGTTATAAGCGTATTAATACTTTCGGAGGCTCAGAGATTTTTTCTTTTTCATATTTCGCGTGGTCATTGGACGTAACTCCGAAATGATTCCCATCGAGAAATTTATACCCGCATATCGAGGACGTCGGTGAAAGTTAATTAAACGTTCACTCTTGTATTTCGAAAGCTTTATCGTCCAGCCATGGGCGAAATATCGGCAACGTTGACGGATAATGCGCTCCTCTTTTCGATGGCGCGGTTCCCGCCGGCGCACCTTCCTGTCTCAGAGGATACGTGGCTAGGACAATTGGTATTTGCAGCTTGATCTCCTTATCCAAGCTCTTTGGACTTATTACAAACTGTAACGAAACAAAATTCATGTACGCAACACAAGAAACAATCGCATTGTAACAATTGATTAAATATGTTATTTACTTTTGTATAGTAGAAGCACTTTGTTTGTAATTTATTAATTCTGGAGAGAAAACTAAATTGACTTCTGTTATCACGAAAGTAAATATATAAAATACAAATAACGATCTTATAGAGCAAAAAGAAAATTACGTATTGTTGAGTAGTTTAGAACATGTGAAGTAGAATTTAATATTTCTAAATTATATGTAAAGTGTCTAGAAATGGAGAAACTTCTTTGAATGAAATGAAAGTATCATCAACTACATCACTACATATATGCAAAAGTTAAAGATATAGTCATAATATAATGATAAACAGTTCTTTTAAATTACTATAGATTCTGATTCATGTTACATTGGTTTCATTTTTTCCTGAACAAAATAGGATCATATTCATATTCTAGGAATATCCTATTTCATATCTATTCTTGCTCTTTTCACTGTTGTTTTTTTATATTTTTCCTTTTCTTTTACTTGTGTTTTTGCTTACATATTTATATTATAATACTGGTATTAATTTATCTTGTATCGTACTATTGGTTTCCTAATTGCTTAGTTAGTCTTCTATTCGACAGGCAAGAAGCTGAATTTGGCTATAGAATGCTCGTCAAAAAAATAAAAATAATACATATTTTTAGTCTTCGTTAGAGAATTTAATTCAATAAATAGGGTAACCCATTAATATACCAAATATGTGAAATTACAGGAGTGTTATAGTTATAGTTCGTAGCTGCTAGATCATTCTTGTATACGAATTCGTGAGGTTCTATATCCCGCAGATAGGATCAGTATTTACTATCCTACAATTATAACGTCGAGGTTTGAACAATGAACAATTTTGTACATGTTTAGTGTTCAGACATATTTTACTAAGCAGTAAGTTGGAAATTCGTCCACTCAGAAGTTTATTTAGAAACATTAGATCAGCTGAATTGTAAGAAACACCAAACAAATGCATAGCATATACTATCCTAGAATGATAACATGGAGGTTTAACAGCTATAGATTAGAATTTTGTCCATTTAGAAATTCGTTTAGGACCGTTAGACCAACTATATTGCAAGAAATAGCAGACAAGAACGTACTCGTGGATTCACCACGCTCGATTTAACAATAATTGGTTTGTGAAGGTATTTGAAAGTTCTATAGAACTATACTTAAAATCTCATGTCTGCCCGTTCTCTAAAATGTAGCGTATTAGGGAATAGCATTCTCATAATTAGAAGATAAAAAGAAACTCCATGTATCGTTCGAGCGTGCTCAAGTATTTCACGATGGAAGTGGAAGCAAGAAGAGAGTGTAGCCATTAGTCATGCTAGGCATGATTCTAATTATTAGAATAACGTCTTGAAGACCACTTTTACTCACGTAAACGTGATAAAGAACGTTGATGAGGTGGCAACCTCGCAGATTGGTAGGCGGTAATGGTGGAACGTACATTTGCTCGTTCAACCACTCCTCGCCTTCGCCAGGACGGATTTTCCCTCTGGAAACGCTTGCCAACTCTCGCGTTTCGCTCGCGAGCACTTTGCCTCGGCACAGGTACTGAATTGTTTCGGTCAAGGATGCTTTAGTCGATTTCATCGTTACCTGTTGAATCATTTCAATCCTTTATACACACTCGCACGCTGATCTTTGCGTCACCTACGCGCCGTGCAAGAATAACGTAAACATTGCAGCCAAACGCTAATAATTCTATTAATTCTAGTAACTTGTATTAAGAATTAATACTTTTCAAAATTAATATATTTAACGCTAGAAGTATACTCCTGGTCAAAAGTATGTGGACCGTTCCTTAATTTCAATAACGATCTGAAAAATATGACTTATTAAATAAGACTTATGAAGTCGTTAATAAATTTTACTAAATCTTATAGATCATACTTTGTATATTATTATATTATTCTTTCTCCCTTTCGTCGATAAATGATTTATGAAGTTATCTCTTTAGTGTTGGCTTCGTAGCAGATATAGTTATGAACCATGATCGTACATTTTTTTATTTATTATTACTAGCATTTTCTTAATCAAACAATTTTGTCTTTATATTTCTATTGCAGATATAATGTATTTTTCTCGAAAAGGATCTTACCAGTTCTAATTTTGTATTCTTAACAGGTTTAATGTTTCTCGTATTGATTTCCTAAATGGAGAATCTTGTTTTCCTATTCTGTAACATCTTTGTATTTATACTAGAGGTACTGTGTTTTTTTTTCCAAAAGTTTCATATGAGTTTATTTAATAGTTTTGTACTGTTAAAAAATTGAGTGACTTTCCTATTATCTTTCATTCAAATTTAAATTTAAATCTCATTTCGATTTTTTTTTTATACTTGTATTTATCATAATCGAAAACAATTTTAGCAGAAATGTGTAAATTCTTATCTAGATACAATTGTTGACAAATAAATAAAAAATGAACGACTGCACGTCTGTTACTCGTCAAATAAAAATTAGAACTTGAGCTATAGGACGAAATTATTCGATCGAATAAGTGTTGCAAGTAAATTGCTATACGTTCTTTATTATT